TCCCCTCTCGCTCTCTCTCTCTCTCTCTAACCCAAAATATTTTTAAGTAGTGTTTGTTACAATCAGTTCTTTTTGAGAATAAAGCTTGCAGTCTCAGTTCGTTAGATTCAATTTCTACGCTATGAGTGAGTTATTATCCGGATCGCGACGTTTATACCGAATTTCAACTGTCCAGAATTCTTTTACAGACCAGCGAAGATCCCGAAAACGCTAAAATATCATCAGACAAGCCGATTACATTACAGCTCCCCGTCCAAAATCTTTCCTTGTTAGCTTGCACGTTTAATTCATAGCCTGGGGAAAATATATTAAACATAGATATATTATTAGCAACCACGCCACAGGCAAGGTAGTTAAATGTGTTTTATTCAAATCAGTAAACTTACCAGAGACGAATTTAACTGTGTATTTTAATAAAATAAGATTTCTTGTATTTAACTTTGTATTTCAAACACATCAATAATATAAAATCAATCATTCATAAAACATCGTCCATTAAACATACATTATGCAAGAGCTAGTTGGCTATTGCAGGTCTTTCTTTAGGCCTGATATGTTATATAAATTATTAATTAGGCATTAATTAACTTATAAATAAAGAACATTATCAACTCTCGATGCCATAGTTAATATTTACTGGATTTGAATACATTTTGTGATGGATGATTTTACGTCAAAATGGATAATCGAGACTTTGTTTTTTATCGTGCCAACTTTAATAATGGTGATCGAGGCTAGGCGTAGAATTTAAAAGCTTATATCTCGGTTCAGAGTGGATCAATTTGACTGAAATGTTCAGCATATTCTCTTTACATTATTTGTTTTAACTATTATAGTGAGAACTGATCAGTACACAATATAAGCTCTGTGTAACATGATAATTAAAGGAATACTATAGGCCTATTGGTATAGCATTTCATCGAGTCCCCTAAATTGCCGAACGACTGGAGAATAAAATGAAACGTTACCTTTAAAAGTCATATCTGTGATGTCAACTTTTTGGTAAACTATTAACCAATAACAACTTAAGCACGGCATATATTTCACCTGTGTATCTTGCCATTTTATTACGAAATTCGGTCGGGGGCATAAACTAAAACTTTATAAAATATAGGCTAGTAGTGAATCATCAAAAAACGTCTGAAAGCATTCTATAAGTTAATCCCTGAACATAACCCAATATTTGCGTGTTGACTCTTAACATATGAATGGAAGAGGGGCTATACTATATACAGGAAAATACCGGAAAATACCGGAAAACACCATGTTATACTGAATACCGGAAAACACCGGAAAAACACTAAATACCGGAAACCACCCTAAATAGGTAACCCGGAGAAGGTCTATACTATAAACCGGAAACTAACCCTAACCCTAACCCAGGCACACAGAGGACCAGGCTCCCGGTTACCTGTTTAGGGTGCCAGTCTCCGGGTTACCTATTTAGGGTATTTTCCGGTATTTAGTGTGTTTTCCTGTATTTAGTTTTTTTCCGGTGTTTTCCGGTATTCAGTATAAAATGGTGTTTTCCGGTGTTTTCCGGTTGTTTTCCGGTATATAGTGTTGCTGATGGAAGATTTAGACAATGATTTTAAAGGACTATATGACAGTGTCAAAATATTATACCACACCTAGATCTTGGAGCCCTTTCAGTAAAAAGTAGGCTTTGTGTCTTACAGTCAATACATCTCAAGGGGGGTTGGATGGCTGAATGGTTAGCGTGCGCGCGCTTTATCATAAAGTCTGTCATTGAGTCAACTGGCGTGGCTTCGAATCCCCAGTTGTACGTGACAAGGAGTAGGGTCGCCTGTCCATCCTCGTGGGTGTCCTCCGGTTTCCTCCCACTGCTAAAAACCTGTACGCGCAAGCGAATTATTGAAATAAAATTAAACCATATGTTAGTCCCGAAATGACCTAGTTTGTGTCAAGTGGACGTTAAATCCCATCTCTCTCTCTCTCTCTCTCTCTCTCTCTCATGAAGTAGTTTCTTTTATAATTCTTTTATTCGTTTATATTGAGTTGTTTATCAGCAGTAACCCATGGCAACAATATGTTGAGACGACTAGATATAGGACGAATCAATGTTTAATAGAGAGAGAGAGAGAGAAATGGGGTTTAACGTCCACTCGACACAAACTAGGTCATTTCGGGACTAACATATGGTTTAATTTTATTTCAATAATTCGCTTGCGCATAGGGGTCTTTAGCAGTGGGAGGAAACTGGAGGACCCGGAGAAAATCCACGAGGTTGGACAGGCGACCCTACCCCTTGTCACGTACAATCAATGTTTAATAACACAATGATAATTTTATTGTCAACATTTTCACAATATTTGAATGAAATATGTTTACACCTGGCGTTAATCTATTTTCAATTTCTACAGGTATTGCAACTCAATAAAACATTTAATGCATTTCTCGGCTTTATTCATTATTGACAATTTGATTAAAATACACATCTATATTTCGTTTCGTTTTTATTTTATACTTTCGATTGCCTACACTACTAGAATGGATAACCTGCTCTAATACGTCAGACCCGCTCCTACGTCACTCCTTTTCTGAATTGCATATTATAGAAGTCAGAACCAAAGCCGTATAGGGCTTTGGTCAGAACAGCGCAGTGACGTAGGAACCAGCCTGGCGTCATTTAGAGTAGGTTATCCAGTCTACTACACTACATGAAGATCTGACAAGTTGACGTTTCTAGTGGTTTACCTAAGAAGTCGCCGTAACAGACCGTTTTATTGGCTTATCCCACACTTCAACCAAAACGCCGGTGGAGGACACGGAGAAAACACAAGAGGTTGGGAGGGTGACCCTACTAATCATTACGTATAATCTGCTCCGACTGGGCTAATGAAGATGGGCATATGCCATGCTGTGTGCTATGAGGGAAACTTTGTCCAGACAGCGACGCTACGACCTACTCTTATATCGAATTCCAACTGTCAAGGGATCTTTTACGTGCACGCCAATGTTTACACGGGATCTCGGTTTGTCATACCATCCGAACGACTAGACAACTCTCCTTGTCAGGCCCTCCGTCCTGCACCACTGACAATGGGAAACCCCACCGGAAAATCCCGATGAACTTTCTTTTCTAACACCGGGAACGAATCCGCGACCTCCAAGCTAGCTAGCCGGCGTCTTACTCACTTAGCCACTGTGAATTCCGCATGGGATTGCAACCGCGCCACTTACTTCATTGATAAACCTTATGATCTACAGCGCATGAGTCGATCCCAGTAACACCGTTAATAACAATTTATGTAACGGTTCTATTTGAATGTGCGGTTCACATTATACGGTTTTTCCTCGGGATTCCCGTTCCAACTTTCATTGTTTCCGGAATCCATGATTTGGGGGCCTGGATCCATGGATTAGAAATCCGTCATATTCTTCTATCATGCAGGTTCGTCAGTCATCGCATTTTTTCATTTTCTCCAATTTTGGCAGCCCAAAATACCAAATTGCAGTCTAGTTGGTTTCTAAGCTCTTGCAAGTTGTTTCTCGAGAACATGCAACCATGCCAATGGAATACGTCAGTAAAATCCAAGCATACCTACAATACAGGCAGAGGGCATCTCCTTTAACATTTTGTGTTCAGGGTAGAAGAAATCACCAAAGATCTTGCTGGGATACTTTTATGACGAACCTTGAAGTGTGCTAATTAGGTAGAACGACTTATCAAATTTACCCAAATTCAACCAAATACACCACTATTTATATGACAATAGTTATATACTGTTCTTTATTTTGAATCTACAATCGTAACATTCTTGTGTCAAAATGCCCCTCAAAATTTCAAAATGCGAGTTGGGAAGTTGCAACCAAATCCAATATTATTTTAACTTACACTAGAATAAATTATATCGATATTTGATAATATACCATTCTTTATACTAAATTGTCATTTTTGATTTAAAATGAGATTTCCAAGCAAGTTTGGAACATGTAACCCAGGGACATAACTCATGTATTGCAGGAAGTCGCTTGCGTGGAAATTGCATTTTGAAGGACATTTGTGAAACAAAAACGTTTCGATTTTAAATTAAAAATGAGAATTTAGTATAAAGAACAGTATATTATCAAATGTCGATATAAATTATTATGATATGAGTTGTAATAATGGTGTTTCATTATAATACAAATCTCAACGAAACCCTTTTCGGAAATACTGGAATTCCGTGATGGGGCACAAATTCTCTCATGGACTCTGTGATAGAGCGCAAATCCCCTCCTGAACCCTGGGATAAGAAATGAAATGGGGTTTAACGTCCTACTGTTCTATTCGGACTGGGCTAATGAAGACGGAAAACGCCAAACAGTGTGCTATAAGGGAAATTGTGCCAAGACAGTGGCGCTATGGCCTACTCTTATATCGAGTTCCACCTGCCCTTTTCTTGCCAGGCCCCCTGTCCCGCACCTCTGACAAGGGGGACCCACGCTGGAAAATCCCGATGAACTGTCGGCCAAACCAAGGATCGAACACGGGAGCCCTAGATTAGCGAGCCAACGTCTTACTCGCTGAGCCACCGTTCCCGGGATAAGAATTCGCGGGATTCTCGAAAATCCTACTTGTGAACTATGATATGTAATAAAAATAAAATAAAACCAAGTACGAACAATCCAAACCATTAGACAAAATTCGAAGTCCTAAAAAAAACGGTATAGGCAAAATGGTGTAAGCAGCAAATGGCCTGTTCGCCGTGTACAAAATACACGACAAACAGTGGTAACAGGTGTCCGGAAGAGTAAGCTTACCCTGCGTGGCGCCACGCCCGCAATAGCTGCATCCAAATCAATAAGAACCGTCATCTGCCACAGGCGCCTATAAAGTGAACAGTATTTCAAAAGTAATATTATGCTATATGACTAAGTGTAATGTCTAAAGTCTGTTTCGACCATGTGGTCTCAATCCGATTTCTAATGTTATTTTTGAAATATTTTCTACGTTACAGGCGCCTGTGCTATTTGCATGGTGTGGGTGATTGAGGTTATATAAGAAACAAGTTTTATTACTGTAGAAACAAGGGAGATAATTTAGTTTTCAGTGATTATAAATCCGGTGGTCTTTCTGTCATAGACTTTACTGTTGGGATGAGCACTACCACATTCTCCATTGCAAACATCTGAAATTACAAATTTTATATAATTACGTCATGTTCGGGGGACTAATGACGTCATGTTCTTGGAGCAACGGCGGTGAGTTTTACAATATCTGGCAGTTGCTATATTAGTCTGAAATCCCCGAACTTTTAGGTACGTTATCTCTTATTTTTGATATCCAACTGTCAGGAGATGTTTAAAGGTGTTAAAGATCCTCTGGCAGTTGAGAATTGTCTCGGTAGACACCAGTGGCCTACTCACCCAAACCACCATTGTTCAAACTAATTTAAAAAGATTTTAATATTTCATTGAGTAACATTTGGTGTTCATGAAAGCTAAAACGATATACGTACCAACAGTCACAGAGTAGTTGCCTGGCAACCATTGTTCACAGAATCCCTGGCTAGGGTCACAGTTGGGATCAGGTTCTGCCTTCAGTGTCAGTGATAAAGGATATGATCCAGCTGGCTGTGCATCATGGACGAATCCCGTTTCTGGAAGAAATGAACACAGAACAAGGTTTGACAGATAGGTCCGGATTAGAGCATGGACTTTACGGACTATAGCCCAGGGGCTGCTCACGGCCCTCCCCAGACTAAGCAAATGTTTTTTTCACTTTATTTGTGGCGCACTCCACCGTAAACCCCCGACCTAACCCCAAACTTGACATTGCCTCCACCATGGACCCCGAAGCTCAAATTCCTGGACACGCCCTTAGTACTCGACCAACATGGGGTCGAGCCAGAGACATCCATATCAGTGAGCCTGAACATTATTTAGTGATCCAGGGAATTTGTTTTGATGCACCAATATGGAACCAGTGACTTAGTGATCTAGGGAATTTGTTTGATATAAAATACAAGGTAATTTAACGTAACGTACCAATAGGGAGACCATCAACAGTTTGAATACCAACTATAATTTCCCCAGTACCTGTTCCATTCTTACTTGTATAGGCAACAGCAATTTGTTTAGGTCCTGCAAGACAAAGGCATTTAGTAACTGGACGTGTATGGATACACAATTATTGAGTTTATTATGATGTATCATTTGCGTCATAAAGACGAGTGCTTCCTCGTCGAAACATCCCTTAGTAGTAAACCCAGTAATTGCGTATCCATAAAATTTACCTTGTGGTAATAAAAATGAATTATATACATGTATTAATACTTTGGTCTGCTTTTAGGTAAATCAAATGCACTTAGGCCACCTCAATTTTTCCCTCAAAATTGCTTAAAACTACACACGCTTACCCTGGGGTCCGCTAGCAGGTGTAACAGACAGCTGTGTTATTGTGGCATCACCAGTATCAAAGATGGGACAGATCTTTATCAATTCACAGAAATAAAATGGATCTAAATCAGCCCTGAAATAATCAATTGAATGGATAGGTGAAACATCGGTTTTATTCAAGATGCAGATCAAAGTGGGTGATTTAGACAAATCAAATGCAGTTGCTGGTGTTCTCATTGTTGGGATTCCGGCGTGGTTCTCCCTTGTCAGTGATGCAGGACGGAGGGGCTGACAAGGAAAGCTGTCTAGTCGTTCGTATGGGACGAAAAGCCGAGGTCCCGTGTACACATTGGCGTGCACGTTAAAGATCCCTTGGCAGTTGGAATTCGATATAAGAGTAGGCCGTAGTGCCGCTGTCCGGGCAAAATTTCCCTCATAGCAAACTATATGGCGTATGCTCGTCTTCATTAGCCCAGTTCGGAGCAAAACAGTAGGACGTTAAACCCCATTTCATTTCATTTCTTTGTTGGGAGCTTATTATTATTTTCAGTTTAGAATCATGTCAAGGGTGAAATAATCTAAATAAGTTTATATTTATATTTTGTATTTGCTACGCCAAAGCTAGATTTAGTGCATATGTTGGGCGCAATCTTCACCCCTGGCGCAGATTGCAATCTGCGCTGTCATCCTGCGCAGATTGCACATCGCGCGCGCAGATTGCCAACTTTGCGCTGATTACCCCACGATGTTTTTAGAGATATTGTAGTTTGTCAGACGCAACTATATATTATATTATATATGACCTGCCTCATATGGTCTTTGTAGTGAAATAATTTTCAAAATAAATGCATAATTAGCGTGTGTGCTTGGAAAATAAGATTTTTAATTCTAGTCAGCAGTATCTCATAATCGGTGCTGACCACGTGACTGGATGTCAAAAATATTTGCTGTAGTGTAATAATAGTTTGACCGGTCGTAGTTACTTTAGTAACGAAGTCTTAGAGACCCGTATGTAGGTTCACAAAGTATGTCATGTAGACCTATCGGCGGAAACTGCTTTATAACTCAAACGCCCTTCTACTACTTCCTCTTTCCTGGTAGTCAAATGCGGTGATATTTTTTCTTTCCGTATCGATTTGCTCCAATTTGCTTGACCAGTAAACTGACAGTCACAAAATTCATTAAAATGTAATCATTAAAATGACTAATACTAACGCACTGATCCATAGTGAATACCGAGTAAGATTAGGCGGATTATCATCGCGGTAATCCATTTTAGTCCGGACAAAGTTCACTTCGCGCGCGCAGATTACTCATCGGAAATTAGACGGAGATTCGCGCATGCGCGGGAGTAATCTGTCCGAGGAGGGTAATCTGCGCTCAACACATATATACATATCTTGACTTAAAGTGTATCGGGAAATTCTTCTATGCTTGGGCACGGAGAAAGCAAAGACAATGTTTTGGGAAATCTAATTCAGACCCTTTTCAAACGGTGTACATATAATATTGTATTCGTTTCATTCATTGTTCCTTAATGCTGTTGGTCGTCATCTTATATGACTTCTTTTGCGCATGGATACTGACAATGCGACAATGCAGATGAATCAAATTCACAATGATGTAGATGTACGTGTATTTTTAAATGTATCTATGCTAATTGTCTCTCAATGTGATACTTACTTCTGGATGAGTTTAATGAATTCATCAATACCAACATAATCACAGAGTAAATCGCATACCAGACCTAAAGCTTGACTTCCGGTTTTCTGTTCTAGAGCTGAACAAACTTTTCCACATGAGCCAACAACACCAAGATCTATAAGAGAATTACACACTCTGACGTATTGGTGATCAGTGACGTGGTAACTATGGTGACCAAAATGTACAGGCAAGTTACTGGAAGATGGAGAGGCTTGAACCTCACTTTGATCCAGGGATGAAGGAACTATATTTTGCGTGGGTTGGCAGACTTTAAATTCTAGGGTGGAATGGGTGGTGTTGTATCATAGAGTCATTTTCTAGTGAATCTGCTGGATTATACCTACTAGATACCTACTCCTGGCGGCCGATATATACATTGCTGAAGATTACTCTAAAGGTGTCGAGTGACCAGTGATTAAAGTGATGACTAGTCGACTAATAGTGCGTCAGTTTTGACTTTGCAAACATGAGCTAGCCAGTAGAATAAGACACCATTTTCAAAAGTACAGTCCTGTAAGTCATTCCTCGCCCTGAAGATGCTGTTTATGCGGTTGTTTTTCGTAAGTCATCTCCCACCTTGAAGACGCTGTTCAGGTATTGTGTTATTGTAATTCGTATCCTACCACGAATAAGGTGTTTTAGGTACTGACTCATGGAATAATCATGACTTATTCCCGAAATGTTGCTTAGCTAGCTGGTTCTCGTGAGACATATCCACCCTGAAGAGGATGATTAAGTACTGAGTTCAAGAAGAGTTATGACGTTTAGGGACTTTGTCCTTAAAGGGTCATGACTTTTAAAATCCCAAGATGTTGTTTTGTCATTAGGGTTCTTGTAAGTCATGGCCCACCCTGAAGATCAGCCCTCGAAGGGTCATGACTTCCTCCGAAGATTTTGTTTAAGTATTCACTACCCAGAGTGTCACGATTTTACCCTGAAGTTCTTGATGCACATACCGACGATCTGGTCTATATAGTGAATACTAATGACACACCTTGGAGATGATTTTACTGACTATGAGTTGGGATTTTGAATGATTTGCAGGATAGAGTACAACCATTCACGCACGAATAATAGTGTTGGGTGTTGCGAGTTAACTATTAACAATTCTGAATATTATTGTCTCTGAATTAACTCACTGAGGATGATGTTGAGGAGTTCGTTGATAGCTTCACCAGTAAACTGTATACAGGTTGGACAAAGATCTAAACCTACTTTCTGGTACTGTGGTACGGGTGTTGCTGTGCTAATAGCTGTTTCTGAACCACGATAGTGTTTATAGGGACGGACGGAAGCATACAAAGCCAGTGGGGAAGCCAACAGGCACAGTAAGAACAGGGTGTTCTGCAATATAATATAAAGACGTTTTCAATTATAAATGAAATGGGGTTGAACGTCCTAATTTTTTACTCCGAATGGGCTAATGAAGACCGATTTTAAATAATATAACGTAAACTACATATTTTGAGTGAATCATTGCGTCCGATATTTGTCAAAGAATACTGAAAACGGTTTGCACGCATCTTTTCACAAACAAGTGGGTGATTTATTCTTTTGGGCCATCTGAAACCTTCATTCGACACCACGCCATGAACCCTTCGTTTTCGCAGTTTAAGAACTCGTCCACAGTCTTAAATATAAAAGACGTAACACATTTTTGTCGATTGGGTCGACGAAAATATTGATACTACTTGCACTAACAAATTTCAAATTGCGAAAGACCACGGGTTTTAACGTAACACAAACCAACGTTCTGGAGTTTCAAGGCTCTAGCAGTGGGAGAAAATCCAAATAAGCATGAGAAGAAACAAACGATAATGGAATCGTTAACGGAAATTTCGATCGGCTTTATACTCCTTTTAGAACATGTGGTACCACTCATGGGCGCTGGTTCAGTTGGATTGTCTCTACCTTAGCACTAATAAATATTTGAAAACCTAACTGTAAACGCTGCTTTCTAGATTATAGTAATAAACCTCCGGTGACTGGTTTGCTTAAAGGGGAGGGAGTGGGTAGTGCGTGTGCGTTGTATCATAAGGTCTGTCATTGAGTCAACTGTTGTGCTTTCTCCCACTGCTAAAGACCTCTACGCGCAAGCGAATTGTTGAAATAAAATTGAACCATATGTTAGTCCCGAAATGACGTAGTTTGTGTCGAATGGACATTCAACTCTTTCCCTCTCTCTCTCTCTCTCTCACTCTCTCTCTCCCTCTCTCTCTCTCTCTCTCTCTCTCTCTCTCTCTGCTTAAATGTTCAGCAAAAACGACGTTAAAACCAGACTGAAAAGGCCCCCGAAATTTTGTGAGAACGTCATCTTCTTTCCGGGTCCCGAGCCTACCATATTGTCATTATTCTTCTCAGTCCATCCTGCTCACTTTGAGAATTAGAGAAATATATTTTCTATAGACGTGGCTTTGAATAATTTCCATGCGTTCTTACCTGCATCTTGTTTCTTGTTGACGGGACACTAAAAAACTGTTTGTCCACGATTAAACTTGATATACAACCCCGATATATCCCGATAACAGTCACGTGACAGGTCAGGAACCAAACAGGTGCCCGGCACTATTTCTAAATGCCAAATATAGGTGACCACAGATAAACAACAATAGTGCGTATATTTAATCACGTTACAACTGGATTTGAACAACACCTGAAAGTATAAACCCCCATTTCAATTCATTTCATTTCATTCCCAAGCCCCACTGTATGAAATATAGAAGAGTGTTTGAGGTTGATTTCATTTAAATTTGTTTTATAGATAATTCTGAGCCATGTTTTTAGTGTTAGTGGATGTAGCGTAGATTGTTTATTATCTCAGACGGATTTAGCTTTTATATAATTACAAAACTATTTCAGTACTATAGGTGTACTATTATTACCCCTGAATGTAAAATTAAATGTCGTATATGTGTGGATTGGAATGGGTTTTGAAATATAGGTCACTTTGAGATTACCATATGGGTTCGATACCGGTGTTGGCCGAGAAAGTTCATCGGGACTTTCCGTCACGGCTTCCCCTTGACATAGGTGCAGGACGGAAGAGGGCCTGACAAGGATAGTCTGGGACAAAAAGGAGCTCCCGTGTAAAAGAACACTTGACTGTTGAAATGCGATAAGAGTAGACCGTAGAGCACGGTATGGTATTCGAACTTCTTCATTAGCCAGTCGATGCAGGACGTTAAACCGTGCCACGTGAATCCTGATCCATATCTAAATGTAGATTAGTCTAGATCTCTTTATCTAAACAAAACCTCGTTTTTATATAATGTCAATGATAAGATTTTATGCGGAAGGGACTGGAAAACTTTGAAAAGTAACCCGATTTACTTCATATCTGTTTTGATTCGTCCAAGTCACGTTGACCATCTCTAGTTTGATTCTTCTAATTAACGTTGGCCATCTTGTTCCATTTTTGTGCACGAATCATTAAGGTATGGGTTTTGATCCTTCCACATCAAGCCGATCATCTTTTTTTCCATTGTGTGAACGACCCTGTTTTGATTCGTCCAAGTCACGTGGGGGATAGGATAGTCGAATGGTTAGCACGTGCGCACTGTATCATAAGGCCTGTCATTGAGTCAACTGGTGCGGTTTCGAATCCCCGGTTGTACGTGACAAGGAGTAGGGTTGCCTGTCCAACCTCGTGGATTTTCTCCGGGTCCTCCGGTTTCCTCCCACTGCTGAAGACCACTACTGGCAAGCGAATTATTGAAATAAAATTAAATCATATGTTAGTCCCGAAATGACCTAGTTTGTGTCGAGTGGACGTTAAAACCCATTTCTCTCTCTCTCTCTCGCTGGCTCTCTCTCTCGCCAAGTCACGTGGACTTTTTTTTTCTATTGGTCGTGCACGATTCTGTTTTGATTCGTCCAAGTCACGTGGCCTATCTTTTTTTCTTTTAGTGGTGCACGAAGTAGGGGCTGTTTCAAAGACGGATTAAAGCGTGGACTTTCGATTCTGCAGATCAGAGACTTGCACCAGCCCGAGGGTCTCCACTGGTGACGTGAAAAGTTGTTCCATTTGTGAACTATTTACTTACAAAAACATTTAAAACACCCCAAACATCCACATTTACCCTGTTCACTCCGATTTACCATATTAGGACGTCGGTCGCATCTCACTAAATCAATCGGGACTAACACATGGTTCAATTGTATTTCAATAATTCGCTTGCGCGTAAGGGTCTTTAGCAGTGGGAGGAAACCAGGGGACCCGGAGAAAATGAACTAGGTTGGACAGGCGACACTACTCCTTGTCACGTACAATCGGGGAATCGAAACCACGCTAGTTGACTCAATGACAGACCGTATGATACAGCGCGCACGTGCTAACCATTCGGCCACCCCCCCCCCCCACACCCACACACACACACAAAAAATTATGATTAATAATAATTTATTACTATTACTATTAGTATTATTCTGATGGCACCATAATGCTTTCGGTGCTTTAGGTCTAGAAAGTTGATGAAGAAGAAGGGGACCAGTCCAAACAGCTAATAATACTTTTGTGCAGCGAGGTTTCCAGTTATTATTGATGTAGGCTCTGGCAAGGACGAGCGTTTTGTCATTTGGGTACGACGAAACGGTTTCGTTTATATATACATGTTGACGTGCACGTACATGTATAAAAAAAACCATGACATTTGTATGATGATGACAATGGCGGTGTCTGTGTCGCTTGACGAGTAACCTGTTGATGAGTTTGTGTCGTTTTTTCAGAAGAGACAGGCAATATCACAATATTATTTTATTTCAAAAATGTTTCATGTAATTGTAAAAGTTGTCTTTCCTTGGAAATAAACTTCACTGATTGGCGCCTTGGTTCCACATTTTCCATTACACCATTCTAAAACATAAATATAATGTTTAAATTTACAGGGGTTGAGGAGATTTGAAACATCGTATCTTCATTGGGGTGTCAAGTTTCATATCACCGACCATATAGTACAAGAGGGTGCCTCGAAAATGTTTAGGAGCCACGATCCATTTTGTAAAACTCTTGCAATTGATAAATAATATTAGTACTTTTATGAGTAAACTATTAGAAGATTGTAATTGGTTTAAATGGAGAATCGTATACTTGAACAAATGGACTGTAAATATACGGTGAGAATTAGAAATAGAATATCGCCCCAGCGATCTTTTGGTGGGTCCCGAGTTTCAAACAGCCCCCCCCCACCTCTCCTTACCAACACGAGTCATATCTAGATGATTCACTAACAGATTGTGATAAAGCGAAAACTTTTGTATATACTTATATAAGCTTCAAAGGAACAATAAAAATTCATGCATGATTGCCCATTTCCATTTTGAACTTTGATATTCATTGGCTCGATAGACTCTTATGGGCCCTGGGGCTGCACCACCCACTTGTGAGGTCTATTTTGAAACACATACAGATAGTTCTTGTCCGCCTGAATATTCTAGACCGGAATCATAAACAACCACACCCATCCATCGTTGACGACGTACGGGATGGACTGGAGGACGGATACACCTGGACTTGGCCAAGTGACCCCCGTCCCCGCGCCACCACTCTAAGAAGGGTGCGAGATAATATTTGGAAAACTGACTGTAAATGAAGCTTTCTAGAGTATATCTTATAGTACAAACAAAACCTCCAGAGACTGCTTTGCTTATTTTTTCATTAAAAACAATTAAACAGGGTCCCTGGACATAGGTGAGAACATTAACTTAGGGCCCTCTCTGCCTACCACACCCACAGGATCTTTCATCCCTGACGACGTATTATTCCATCTCTGATGACGTATTACTCCATCCCTGACGACGTATTACGCTATGCCTGACGACGTATTACTCCCTGACGACGTATTACTCCCCGATGACGTATTACTCCCTGATGACGCATTACTCCCTAACGACGTATTACATGACCCAACTTACTATAATCAATCGTGTATTTTCCGGGTTTCCACGTTTCACACGGTTTAACATCCGGGTGACAATCATCTGATTTCTGGGTAATAATTAAAAATGTGTTACTGTATTTTCCTTTATAGGTTCCACTTATATACTGGGATAAATCTGACAAAATAAAGTATATTTACACGTCATAGTATATTTACACGTCATAGTATATTTACACGTGGTATTATCAAAATAAAGTATATTTACACGTGGTATTATCAAAATAAAGTATATTTACACGTGGTATTATCAAAATAATCATTTAAATTTATTTTCCGAAAAATAAAAAAATGTGTTAATGATCTGAAATGACAAAACCTATTTATTGATGATAGGGTGAAAAGAACTCGGATTTAAAATGTCGTTTATAGGGACTGCCAAGGATATTTCCTTGTTAGCTACCCAGTCGTAATAATCAGGTGATGCAAGAAGAACTATTATCTAATGAAATTAGTATACAGGATCTTGCGAACTAAAATATTGTGAATCTTAAATTGGGCCATTCTATGGTTTGAATACTTTGTCTTAACTACACGCCCGCCTCATTAACTACATATTCCTGAAGCAATGTCCCGAGAAATCCCTCTCTGGCCATTGCTGGATTAGCTTCTGATACGTGCGCTTTTGAGGGAGTGTGTCTATTCTTCCCGTTCAATCAAATCTATCCCCAAGCACAGAAACATGACTGCCCTTCTTTTAATCAGGGGCCTTCCCTAAAACTTTGGACAGTGATATAAGGTATTAAAAACGGCGAAAGTGTTGTTCGACTCAAAATAGTATTGTTTACATTATATACGTGCTGATAGCCTCGTTTGTCACACAATTAGTTTTTCAGCAATATTCTGCTATGCACTGGTTAACTGGACATAATAAAATCGTGAGTCATTACGTAACGTTATGTAAACATATTTGGTCCAATTTGGAGCTCTGTTTGGTATTGTTACGCAGTTAGCTATTGGTTGTTAATCGGACTATTGAGCAGTCATAATTTAGATCAAGAATTTGCCTTCTTTACAGCAGTGAGTAGTGGGATTAGCTCTAATCAAACGAAACACTGCGAGGAGTATGCATTAGATAGAGATAGTTGATTGAGGACATACCAACAGGAACACCATCTACTGTATGCACGTAGAGATAAAACTGACCAGGCGCCAAGGGTTTTACAGCTTGAAATTTTACAAACACATACCTCGTCTCTAAATGAACAGAAAAACATTAATAACACATTATATAGATATTTTTCATATACTGTCGTTCAGAAGCATCTATGCCAAGAAACACTAAATTCTTTAAATGGCATCTTGAAGCATGGTTAACTATTCATAACAAAACATAACACAATGTATATATGGATATAACTAGTTCTCTATTGTCCACGAGGTTGGATAGGCGACCCTACTCCTTGTCAGGTACACCCGGGGAATCGAAACCACGCCAGTTGCCTTAATGTCAGACCTTATGATACAGCGCGCACGTGCTAACCACGTGTGTTACGAAACGTCGTTATTAAATAATAGAGAAGTAGTTATATCCATATATACCTTGTGTTGTGGTTCGTTATGAAGAAACATGTAATAATAATTAAACCCCCTTTAAGTTAGATAATGAACTGAAATAGGGTTTAACGTCCTACTGTTCTGTACCAACTGGGTTAATGAAGACGGACTTCTATCATACAGTGTGCTATGAGAGAAATTTTGCAAGGACAGTCGCGCGCTAAGACCTACTATTATTTTAAATTCCAAATGTCAATGGTTCTTTTACGTGTACATGGGACCTCGGTTTTTCGTACCATCCACAGGACTATACATGGTCCCTGCCAGGTCATCCATTCTGCACCACTGACAAGAGGAAACCGCTCCGGAAAATCCCGAGGGACTTTCTCAGGATCGAACCCAGCCCCCCCCCCCATCCCAGGCTATCGTGCCAACGTCATACTCGGAGAGTAAAACTGTAGGCCTACTTCTTCAATATGTCACCTAAATAAAATCGATTTATTCATTGCCGTGAACCTAAGGCCTGTTTCAGTTTTAAGTTCTATATATCTTTTCAGCTAGTATTTTCAGGATATCATCATATACTTGAAATATTACAGAGATATAGGTCTCAAAGTCCTTGGTTGATTTCTTTCAAAGTCATATGGATTATTGTATTTAAATTTAGAATTTGTCGATCGCAAATCTGGGATCGTTTCCGCAATTTATCCTAATACTAGCGAACTCTTGCGAACACAATACAGGGTTCTAAAGAAAGTTTTTTTAAAATTTGCTGAAATTGTTCATTGGGACATGAGGAATGCGATCGAAATTCAAAATGTCGAATAAAAACAGTTATCTTTCCATTCTGTGAAAACGGCATCTTTGTTGTTGATCACCTTCCGTTCTGTTATCAACTTTAGGCCAAATAGTTATATTAACATTTGTAACAGCTCCACCTGGTGAATTAAAACATTCACCAGCCAATTCACAATAATATACAGGATCTTCGTACGATCTGAAAAAAATCAACAGAACCATTTCTTTTTATTGTAAAACCTGCAAAACATCTCTACACTGGGGTCAGTTAGGCCGAGAAGAAGGGCTGGGGTAGTCTAAACTTGCCAAGAAATACTCCGTGAAGTTTAGTTAAACTCTTTCTACGTATCATTTTATAAACTCCATACCCTTTCATCAAGTTGTAACCGACCCTTTAAAGATACATTTTGGGAGATTCGGTAACGAGTTGGCAGTTCTCACTATAATAGTTAAAAATTAGATAATGTAAAGGCAATTTGGTGAAAATTTCATTTAAATTGATACACGATGAACCGAGAACTAAGCGACTGAAATTCCCATAAGCCTTGGTCATCATTACTAAAGTCAGTACGATAAACAGCATAGTCTCGATTATCCATTTAATCGTTTAATCGAGAAGGAAAGTTATGCAGTAAGTCGCCTTACAATCCACTAAAGATCGCAGGCTATTATGGCCTGGATAGGTTAATTAATGTCTAATTAATAATTTAGATAACATTTCAGGCCTGAAGAAAGACCTGCAATAGGTAGATTTACCTCTTGCATAATGTATGTTTAATAATATAAGAAGTTGTTGACTTACCCTTTAATAAAATTTTAGAAGTTGTTGACTTACCCTTTAATAAAATTCAGAAAGGTGTTTAATTGGTATTGTGGACAGTATAAATCACAGACCAAGGCAGCTTCTATATCTGGTATCTTAGCACAGAAACTTGTACACGTTTCATTAGTGGAGATAGTTGTATCTGTTAAAACAGATTGGATAGAACCAATAAATAATATGATTAACAGCAATTCCATCTGATTAAAATACAGATCTTTATTTTATGATCAGTAGTGGAATACCGCGTTTTATCAGTGAAATAAAAGTGTTATTCCACTGGCTAGAAGCGGACAAAGTAGTCCATGTTGCTTTTACCTAAAATGATTGTAAAATCATAAAATAAATAGAACATTTGTCGTTTTGTCGCGAATAACATATTTTATTTCATCTCTAAGCAAGAAAACGTTTATATAAGTTTTCTTGCTTCTCGATGAAATAAAATATGTTATTCACTCTAAAACGACAAATATCCTCTATATATTTCGTTTCGTTTTTTATATTTTCGATGACCTGACCGGTTGTAGTGGAAGGTCGCATCAGTTGTCATACGAGCGGCTTTTGATCCTATGACATCAAACATTGATTAATCAATCTGCGTTGACGTTTCTAGTGGTTTACATAAAGTTCCGTGCATTTCACATCAAAAACGCGCCAATCCCCTCCATAACAACTCTTCCAGATCCTAGTGTAGTAAAGACAAGTAAAACGAAATTTTGAACGAACATTTATCACACACTGGATAACACTATATCACCATTTTATTATAATGTTCTCATCCCTTGTCAGTGATGCAGGACGGAGGGTCTGACAAGGTCAGCTGTCTAGTCGTTCGGATTGTACGAAAAACCGAGGTACCGTGTAGACATTGGCGTGCACGTAAAAGATCCATTGACAGTTGGAATTGGATATAAGAGTAGGCCGTAGTGCCGCTGTCCGGGCAAAATTTCCCTCATAGCACAGTGTATGGCGTTTGGCTTCATTAGCACAGTATAGGAGCAGAACAGTAGGACATTAAACCCAATTTCATTTCATTTCGTTTCATCAAAATAAGGCCGAACAAACAAGCGTGCGACGCATTGTCCTAGAGCTTCGGAGCTTCCCATTTTATCAAATTCGCGGGCAACCCCTCAGACTAGAAGTTCAAACATTATAGTGTCTCCATTCTGTCTAAGCATCGAGATTACATTTACATTACTGGAAATATGTGTACGAGTAGACAACATTCCATCTCTAATCGGGGAGGGTCGAAAGGTTTGTCATTGAGTAAACTGGCGTGGTTTCGATTCCCCGGCTGTACCTGACAAGGAGTAGGGTCGCCTATTCAACTTCGTGGGTTTTCTCCGGTCCTCCGGTTTCCTCCCCCTGCTAAAGACCCCTAAGCGCAAGTGAATTATTGGAATAAAATTGAACCGTATGTAAGTCCCGAAATGACCTGGTTTGTGTCGAGTAGAGGTTAAACTCTCTCCCTCTCTCTCGCTCTCTCTCTCCCCAACACTAATCCGACCCTTACATTTCATGCATATAACACTCAACAAGATGAGGGAAATTTGGTGGAAAGATTCTTAAACCAACCGCCCCATGGGTTATAGACCGGACCCCCATAAACTGGAACCAGAGATAACAATTATTCCATAATGACTGACATTTCAAACGCCTCACTTATTGACGTGACCTGACTATTCAAACCAATGAAAAGAGATTATTTTCCAAAGCAACGACTGTCAGTAATACAAAATCAACAAATGGCACAACTTCGACGACAACTGGTCGAACTGGATGTTGTCTGATAGTGAGAATCTTATACCTGTAGTCCCATGTACAAATTCTATATCTGTTATTTGCTTATAATTGTCCGCTCTATTAAAATATCTGCTTACTTTTCAAGTGGTCAAGCCAATAATGAAGATTTCTATCAATGACCTGTATGCAGAAATCACAATCTTCATCCAACCGTCGATGTAATGGATGAGCTGGAGAATCATCTACAGGACTTTGATGACACTGGAAGATGCATGTGTAGCTCAACAAAACAAATATTAATAACTGAAAAATTAAAAAAATTCAAACTTGTAGAATTATCGAAATTATAGAGAAATTACACGTTTCCATAGGTACCTGACACTGCAGGGGCAGGATGAACGTAATAGCTTTGTCTATAATTACCCCTCAAAATGTATTCCGTACTGGTTTTGTATAAGATTTATTAAGGTGGTGGTGCCACCGGTTGGGGAGGGTTAGGCTTAATCCTAAATAAACCATTTAATGCACGTATTTTTCATTCGAAGCTAAGCTGTTCATGCTGCGTGAGCCAATTCCCCTCCCCTTTCTAATCGATTCTAAGATTTAGTTTTTTTATTTTGACTCCTTATCCAGAGCATACTCCAATTCGTCGGGGTATATTTCGACACCACAGCCCCCTCCTCTGGAAATCCCTGGCGGGGTAAGCAAAGCATTTGAATTGACACCGGAAAGATATATGCCAGTATGTCCATATTAGTGCACGAAAAAGTCGGCTAACATGTATGTGGTATCAAGCGTTGGTATAGTAAAATCTTGATATTGTTGAAAATGCATTATGTACAATTTAGTTATAAAGAGCTGACCGTTTTTGATATAATAGTTCAAGCATAGATAATTGAAAATGACTATATAGAAATTTTCATTCAGATTACTTTATTATGAGTTTTCGAAGGTTTGACAAGATAGTCTCGATTGCCAAAGGCCATTGCTGTGGTGATATTAAACAAAGTCTCGATTATCCACTTTAACGTCAAATTATTAAATGCCGCAGATGTTCTAATCCATTCATTATCTGGGCCATCCGATAATCTAGAGAGTTAATTATGGGCTTGTCTTGTCACGTGAATATATGCCGCAATTAAAAATGTATATATCGGTTGAAGATCCCCCACCCCTTCAATAAAAGTGATCTACAATACAACAGGCAGATTTAGTTCTTCTACAATTTATCTTTAAGACTAGAAATCTGAATATAAAACACCTGCAATAAGCAGATTTAGCTCCTCCATAATTTATCTCTAAGACGAGAAATATTTTTAGAGGGAAATCTAATGATATATAATCGTTGAAGATAAGTGTTCCTACCTTCATGCTGTTTTACCAAAACCTTTTAATCTCTGTAAATAATCAGGTCAACCTATCTGTACTACAAAAAGTCGTGAGACTCCATTGTAAAACAACTAATCACAGAATACGACCTATTTCGTCAACAATGGAGGTCATCGTATATGTCAATTTCAGGTGGAAGCACCTGAAGAATGCCCCAAATCAGAAGAAATTTAACAATTAATGTACGTAGTATTCTATGGAAGCAATACCCAAAACCACATCAGCACCCTCGCCCTTTCTAGCATCCTACAAACGGCGTATTTCGTATGCAGAGCAGGTTACCCGGCAATGATCACATAATAGATAATACATGGATTAGTTTGATTACACTCGCGATCACGGGTTAACACAGGGGCTAAGTGAGAGGGACGCAATGACGTGCTTTGCGTCATAGTTTTGAGTTTTTGCTACAAATTGACTCTAGCATGTTCAACTTGTAAGCGATATCGCCTTCGGTGGAAGCGGACGTTATATTCCATACTCAACAAGTACAGAATAATCTTCTTTGCACAAGTATAAAAATGAATAATAAATTTATCGTTTCACCGCATTCGGCGAGTGCTTGGTTGTTGACTAAGTGTGCACTAGAGATGATAAGGTCTGTGATTGAGTCAAGTGTTGTTTGGACCTCGTGCTCGCACGTGGATTTGTTACGGATCTCCCGGATAGCCCCGGCTTGAAGGGTATTATTCAAATAAATATGCAGTAGATATTGGTCCAGAAATGATAAAATGTACCCGTTTTTACCGAAGAGTCGGGAACCACGAAACACTCAATAATATAATATCAACAGATACGTTATAAAACTGACATTGGGTAATGTTTTTTTTATTTTTTTACTACCCAAATTATTTATAAATACATAAATACAAGTTTATTAATCAATTTTATTCTGTAGAATTCGCGCTGATGGTAAAAGTTGCGTGTCCTTGGAAATATACTTCACTTATTGGAGCTTTGCTTTCACACATACAGTTGCATAATTCTGCAACAAAATTGAATTAAAATTAATTTTATTTTTAATAATTTAACTGGGATATAAATATGCGGGATGTCACATCATGTGGCGTCTATAACATAAGGTTGTGCGTAACGTCATATATCGTGGTGCATATGGTGTATAACGTCATATATCGTGTATAACGTCATGTGGTGCCTAACGTCAAGAGATGTGTATAACGCCATGGGCGTGTATAACGTCATGAGGCTTGTAAAACGTCGTTTGGCGTGGATAACGTCATGTATTGCGCAACGTCATGAGGTATATAGAGCGTCATGTGGCGTGTATACGGTGTAACGTCATGTGGTGTAGAACGCAAAAGAACCCATGGTCGCATTGTTGTCTTCATGGTACTGAAAAGCGGGATTTTAAACTATTTCATCTGCTATTTTATTGAAATAATGTATGTTGTTTGGGTATATTATACGATTTTCTTATGAAACTCAATGACGAAAGTGTGTCACGAACACAGATGTGTGGAATTCGATAAGCTCACTTTTGCTCCTTTATGTGCGAAGTCGGGGCCGTGACTGGCTCAGAGACGTTGCCTCGCTAACCTAGAGTTTTTATGTTTGATCCCGGAGTTCATCGGAATTTTCCGGTGTGGTTCACCTTGCCGGTGGTGCAGGGTGGTGGGCCTGGCTACGGACAACGTATACTACTACATAAATATTGGAGTGGACGTAAAAGAACCACTAACAGTTGGAACTTGAAAAAAGCGCAGGCCTCAGTGCCGCTGTCCGGGAAATATTCCCTCATAGCACACTGGTAATGGGTAACGGTTTTCTGAGTAAGGTATTTAGGTTTGGGTTAATGTTTTTCGGGTTCGTGCATTTGTGTTCGATGGCGCGTCCCGAACCCGAAAAAGTTCAGTGTTTGAGGTTGTTTCTTGAAAAAGTAAAGGGTAAGGTTCTGAGAGGGTCAGGTTCAAAAATGGGTTCGATGGCGAGTCCAGAACCCGAAAATCTTTGATGATTGAGAATGTTTCTTGAAAAAGTACAGGGTTGGGTTCTGAACGGGTCAGGTTCATAAATGGGTTGAGGTATTTAGGTTTGGGTTAATATTTTCCGGGTTCGTGTAGCTGGGTTCAATCGCGAATCACAAACCCGTGTCTTCATTGGACCAGTCGGAGCAGAACAGTAGGACGACAAATCCCATTCCATTTCAGTGCGAAGGCGGTAGTACCAAAAAAACAGTCAATGCTTTGCTTTGGTCACGTCTTGGCATCCTGGCTTCCCTTTGCTGCGAGCCTTTAACCGGAAGTAGGAAACATAAAGCCAAAAAATGAATCACAGTCATGACTCCTCGCTATTAAACTCAAAGCCAAACGTGAAGGCAAATCCATACATATGCAATTCGGGTGGTTTTCAAAATAACGGCAACTTCACTTATAAAAGACTTACTATAATTAATTGTGTATTTTCCAGGTTTCCAGGTTTCACACGGTTTAACACTAGGATGACAATCAGCTTTTTTAACTGTATCTATAATAGAGGACATTCCGTACAGTCCTGTAGGTGTCCCATCTGTAAACTGAGATATTTCTGAAAATAGACAAAATTAAACATGAATTATGTAAGAGCTAAATCTGTCTATTGAAGATCTCTAATTTGGGCTTCAAATTGTTACTTAGGCATTTATTCACATGGTCAGCCATTAAACATCTCTCTAGACCATCAGATCGCCGTGATTTAACGTTAAAATGGATAATCAAGACTGTGATTATTATCGTAGCAATGGTACTTGACAAACGGGACTATCTTGCCAAAAATTCAAACTTCATTATCTATTTTTCAACTGCTATGCTAGAACGGTCAGCTCTTTGTCTAAATCTTATAAAATACAGCTATAATAAACATAGGTTGATAAGCAACAATACATACGCCCTCTGGCAAGCAGTCTTCATTATCCATTTAACGTACAACCCAGTCTTACTTCAGGTCATAATAACGCAATCTGCTAACACAATTATAAAACCAAGGGGAATAACTCTATTAATACTTACTATACGGTACACCATCAACTGTTTCAACAGAGATTATGAACTGACCAGGACCCAAAGGTTTTGTCACATTATACAATATTTCAAAAAATCGCGCAACTGAAATAAAAAATTAAAAAGTAAATGTGTTGAACAAAATATAAATAAATAAAAATAGCCTAATTTTGGAATTAAGTTTCCCGTAATAACGAGAAAAACGAACTGATTTACAATAAAACATAATTATATTTAATAACTATTCTAAAAAAACAAATTTCACCGGAAATCAAACCTATGCGGCATTTTTTAATGACTACTATCTTTGTTATAGAAAATAAGTGGAATTCTTATTTGAAAAACATAACTTGCACGTGACAAGGTGTAGGGTTGTCTCCTTTTTTATGATAATCCACTGTAAAGACAATGGCGCACAAATCATATAAAAGGGCCGGGTTAGCTAACTCACTAGAACCTTTTCCATTCACACCAACGAAATCAAGAAGAGAGGTGCTATATAAAACGTAATTTTTATTTATATGTTTATTTGTGAACTGCATCGTGCAATTATCCGCGTATTATTCGTTTGACTGGGCACCATTTCTACACCGCCCTTTTGTCTACCATAACTGGGAAGTCACGGTGGCGAAATGGGTAAGACACCGGCTCGCTAGCCTGGAGGTCGCAGATTTGCTCCCGGTGTTGGGCGAGAAAGTTCATCGAAATTTTCAGGCGAGGTGTTCCCCTTGTCAGTGGTGCAGGACGGAGGGCCTGACAAAGACAGTTCTCTACTCATTCGAATGGGACAAAAAACCCAGGTCCCGTGTATACATTGTAAAACACGTAAAAGATCCCTTGACAGTTGGAATTCGATATAACAATAGGCCGTAGCGCGGCTGTCCGGGCAAAATTCCCTCATAGCACACTGTATGGCGTATGCCAGTCTTCATTAGCCCAGTCGGAGCAGAATAGTAGCGCGTTAAACTACAGGGCCTTGTTCAGTCTCAACGACTGCTAGACATCCTTTCCGTTGAGACCGGTATGCGTAATTTGAGACAACTGGGATTCGGGCTAGAAATTCTTGGGTACAAACCCTGAACATTCTAGATGTGCTGCCAATGTAACCAGGTTTTCTAGTTGTTGGGTCACCGAATCTTACCTCCTGCTCTCCCGACTTTAGGACTAATCTGAATCTTGTAAACATCAGCAGCACCTCCAGGCGAATCAAAACATTCACTAGCTTGTTCACAAAAATACACAGGATCTTTATACGATCTGAAATATCACAAAAATCTTATAATGAACAAATGTGGATTATGGTTGGATAAATCTGCTTTAATTCAAATAGAAGATTTATTATTTACGTCGGTGCCATAGCAACGACTAGTCATTACAATATATGGCTTGTAATTGCAGGAGAATTTAAATGAACTGAAATGGGGTTTAACGTGCTGCTTTGTTTCTGCGACGACTGGGCTCATTAAGACTTTCACACTTCATTGTACTATGAGTGGAATTGTCCCTGGACACCTGCGCTATGGCCTGTCTCATTCGAACGACTGTGTGCTGTCCTGCATCACTGACAAGAGGAATCGCCGCGAAAAATTCTGAGGAACTTTCCCGGTAATCTCCAAGTTAGCGAGCCAGCGTGTTACTCCCTGATCAACCGCTGCTCCCGATACATGTGACATATGGAATGGAATCAGCGGTTCAAAAGCATGTATATTGTAAAATCTATAATTTTTTTTATATAAAATGTCTCTCACAGAGTCTATTTCAAACGGCGTTCATATAATATCTATACGAAATGTCTTTCTAAACTCTATACGAAATGTCTTTCATAAATTCTGTACGAAATATCATTATTCAAATGTGTTTAATAAAATATATACGAAATATCTTTAATAAAATCTATACGAAATGTCTTTCATAAAATTTATACGAAATATCTTTAATAAAATCTATACAAAATGTCTTTCATTAAATTTATACGAAATATCTTTAATAAAATCTATACGAAATGTCTTTCATTAAATTTATACGAAATATCTTTAATAAAATCTATACGAAATGTCTGTCATAAAATCTATACGAAATATCGTAAATACCCAGAACTTATAGGCGGCACTGGTTTGTTTATGTGTCTTCAATCCATCCCATCTTTGTAAATCATGAACGCACTTGAACCATTTTTGAATTGGTATTACTTTCAGACATTCAGCTTTTATAATATTGTAGTTTCTAAGTGAACCAAAATCCCTAAATGAAGATCAGTGGCTTTGACACATGCCGCAGTAAAGACAGGCTAAACTCTCATGAGGTGAACTTACCCTTTAACAAAATATAAGACGTTGTTAACTTACCCTTTAATAAAATATAAGATGTTGTTGACTTACCCTTTAATAAAATATAAGATGTTGTTGACTTACCCTTTAATAAAATTCAGAAAGTTGTTTAATTGATATTGTGGACAGTATAAATCGCAAACCAAGGCAGCTTCTATATCTGGTATCTTAGCACAGAAACTTGTACACGTTTCATTGGTGGCAATGGTTGCATCTAAAGGAAAGACAATTTAAGACGAGAGAAAAAAACATACAGTTTAAAATCCACTCAACACAAGCAAGCTAGGTTATTTTGGGGCTAACATAATATATGGCATTTCAATAATTCGTTTGAGCGAAGAGGTCTTAATCCAACATTTAGCCATGTACAAGTGTGGCATCGAAACTATGTCACTGACAGAAATTATGATCTAAAACGCGCGGGTTAAACCAGTCAATTGCTCCTTAATCACGGAAACGGGGGCGATATAATTTCACAATCTGCTGGTGCTCCTTTTTAAAGGTCATCGATTGAACGTTCCGGGAATGAATTCTCTCAATTGTTCAAAAGATGTCAATAATTTAACTTAAAATGATACTACCTCGACCACGTCACGATCCCTATCACATCTGTTTCCAGTTTGCTGGATTGGCAGAACAGTGCCAGGACTGTCGATTGTCATTCCACCAAGCACCCCGACCACCCCACTAGAGAGAAATAACTTACTATTTATATATTCTATCCAGTAATGGAGATTTCTGTGAGTTGCATCGATACAAAAACCACAACCATCATCAAATCGTCGATTTACTTCATGTGTTTCAACATCAACTGGGCTTTGATCCGATTGATGTACATAAAACAACACCAACAGAATAATAACCTAAAATTAATAAAGCGGTATAATAAAAATACAGATCTAAATTTCGTTTCGATTTTCATACTTTTGATGGCCTCTACTACATAAAGATCTGACTGGTTGTAGTGGGAGGTCGCGTCAAAGGTCATAAGAGCTGCTTTTGACCCTATGACATCAGACATATGATTAACCAATCAGCGTTGATGTTTCTAGTGGGTTTCCCACAGTTCCGTAACAGACCGTTTCATTGGTTAATCCCTCACATCATCCAGAACGTGGGTTATATAACAACTCTTCCAGATGTTGGTGAAGTAAAGACAAGTAAAACAAAATTTTGAACTATAAAAAAACGAAAAGAAATAGGATCTGTGTTTTTATCAGATTGACAAGAAACCAACATTCGAAGACATTATTTCTTTATACACCCTTCTTTTTCTGGGAGAGAGCCAGACAAATGGGGTTTAACGTCCAGTCGGCACAAACTAGATCATTTCGGGGCTATCACATGGCTGGACAGGCGACCTCACTCTTTGTCAATTACAAGCGGGAGATCAAAACCGCACCATTTGAATCAATGGCAGACATTATGATATAACGAACGCGCTTTAAATCATTCGGCCATCAACCACACTCCCCTTTCTTTAGGGTATACATATCAATGTACAATATTTCGGCTATCGACTTTGCGGACACATGTGTTTTTATCTTGGGGCCGCGGTGGTTCGCTAACTTTGGGTTCGATCCCAGTGCTGGCCAAGAAGGTTTCGCGGGATTTTGCAGTTTCCCTTTGTCATTGCCACAGGATAGGGGACCTGCCAAGGAACGTCGTCTCGTCGTTCAGATGGGACGAAAACAGAAGCTCCCGTGTCGTGCTCGTAAAAGAACCCTGGCAGTCGAAATAAGAGTAGGCCGTACACTCGCTGTCCGGGCCAAATTTCCCTCATAGCACATGGCGTATGTGGTGCAGAAAAGCACGTTAAACCCCCATATCATTTCATTTCAGGTGTTTATCTCTAAAAATTATATTATTCTTTAAGTCCATAAGTATGTGTATAGTTTATTTTACTCTAAACAGTTCGCGAACTCGAACCCCAACCAATTAACGTCTTTTTGTGATTAACTTCCGTTTGCACCGAAGGTGATATCGCAGAAAAGTTGTTTTATTGCACTTCGGTCTTTCCCGTGGCAGGAAAACGGAGTAAACCCAGGAGGTTGAAAAGGCGCCCCATATCTCAAAGCCCCAAACCCCGACCGTAAGCCAGGGGTGACCGACCAGCCCGGCACTCTAGACCACTAGCCCATCCCGACCACGAGAGATCGAAACCACGAGAGGTGATCTTCCAGCTAGGGCTCGAAGCCCGACACTCTACGCCATTAGCCAACCCAACCACGAGAGATCGAAACCACGTGAGGTGACCTTCAAGCTAGGGCTCGAAGCCCGACACTCTACGCCATTAGCCAACCCAACCACGAGAGATCGAAACCACGTGAGGTGACCTTCAAGCTAGAGCTCGAAGCCCGGCACTCTAGACCACTAGGCCAATCCCCCGTCAATTAACTCCTACTTGCACAATTTAACCTCTGCGGTTGAGATCTGTGTGACCAAAAACGCCTGTGGTCGAAACGCTGGTCCACCATACTGACACGTGGTACCAATTTATATTTATTTTAGGGAATTCAGTCTAAATAAAATGAACCTGTATCATTTCCCTTTTTATGTCTGTTTTCAATTTGCACTACACCATTTCATCTATAACATGTTTATGTTCAATTCATCTATAGCACGCTTGTGTTCAATTCATCAATAACAAGCGTGTTCAATTCATCAATGACAAGCTCGTGTTCAATTCATCTATAACATGTTTGTGTTCAATTCATCTAACCGAGAAGGAAATGGAAAAGTGAAAAAACGCTTTGGATGGAAACGTGTTTGTGCAAAACATTCACAATAACAAAACTCTAATTTGAATTAGAGAATTTGACAAAATTTCATTAAGTTATACAACATCAAAAAATGAGAGGGGAATATATAGTAGATTTTTTTATGAGACGAACATGGGATATCTAGAAAAAGGACTATTCTATATCTTTGTGTGCGACCAAATGGCTACATCATCGGATATTCATAAAAAATATATATATTCCAGCTTACCTTCATAATGTGGCGGTTATTTAGAAGTGTTAATCTCTGTAGACGGACAGGTGGTGTTTGAGGTATTCAGATTATAAGAGTAAAGTACATTATCTAAAACCACGTAGTCAGTTTTGGTCTACATTTTAAAGCTGATAATTAAAAGCCTGCACGGTCTAGTTATATTGGACTAGAATTTCTTTCAAAAAGTACCAATAGAATTGACTCAATTATCAAAACATTTCACTAATACATTAATTTCTAAAATGTATAAGGGGCACTCGTAAGATCTAAGGGTAAACTATAAACATTTCGTTAAACGAACATAAATATATAACATTTCCAAGGGGTAAAATATCCCCCGAATGTTTTTATTGTATATTCGTGGCCACATTTCCAACTTTACCTGAGCAATAAGGCTCCTTTCTAAACACAGAATTGAACCCAGGAAATGTTCTCAAAAACGCCACCTGACTTCTGAGATGGTAATGTGTTCTCCATGATTTTCATGTAACTCGTGCTGAACGTGCTGTTCACCAGGACCAGCCCTATAAAATGCACCCCCGCACCTGGTTGAATCATTCACACTACAACGTCAGCGGCATGCCACGACTCACGATAGCTCAGAGGAATCAGGCGCTTGGAAGACTCGACGCTGGCCACACTACCCAAGCCGTTGCCAATCGCTTCCAGGTCAATGTTCGGACCATCTACAGGCTTCAGTAACGCTTTCCGGCCACCAACACCACGGATGACCAAGGGAACACACGGAAGACCCATCAGTACCGATAGTGTGCGCCGACGTCTCACCAGAGAGAAGATCCATTGCCGTAGACCTTACCGTGGACCGATTCTCACCACTCGCCATCGACGTAAACGTCTACAGTTTCCCACCATCACCAGAACTGGCGACACAGCCATTGGAGAACTGTTCTGTTCACAGGTGAGAGTCGGTATTGCGTATCAACTGCAGATAGCAAGACCAGAATATGGCGTCGACGTGTCCAGCGTTATTCTGACCAATGTGTCATGGAACGAGACTCATCGGGAGGTCCAAACATAATGGGTCCTGTGGTGTTCCATAATCTTGGTCCAGGGAGAGGCGGCGGCATCACAACAACAGTGCGCTACATCGATCAAGCTCTCAGACCCCACGTTATACCACATTTCGCACGTCATCGAAACAACGTTTTTCAGGATGACAACGCCTGTGCCCACACCGCCAGAGTTACTTGGGATTTTCTACAGCAGAACCGTGTCACCGTTATGCACTGACCAGCCCGCAGTCCGGACTTAAACCCGATTGAACATCTTTGGGATGTAATTTAGAGGAGACTTAATAACGTCGTGCCGAGACCAAACACAGCCGATGGATTTCGCCAGGCTTTTCTGAGTGTGTGGTTCCAGGTGCCACTCCATGTACAGACACTTGCGGTAGACCCACCAGGTATAGACGGTGTACAGACTCTAAACTTTGTCGTAATGCCTTGGAATTGTGATAAATTAATCACTAATGTGTCAACATACTGTTCACAAATGGCTTTGATCCATTTGATCCCATTTTCCTGGTTGTAAATAACTAATACTGTTTAATAGATAAGTTTATTTGTAACAATACTGTCAATCTGTCCTGTCAATCTGTCCTGTCAATCTGTCCATTCTATCGGTCCTGTCTATCGGTCCTGTCTATCTGTCCTGTCTATCGGTCCTGTCTATCGGTCCTGTCTATCTGTCCTGTCTGTCGGTCCTGTCAATCGGTCCTGTCTATCTGTCCTGTCTATCGGTCCATTCTATCGGTCCATTCTATCGGTCCTGTCTATCGGTCCATTCTATCGGTCCTGTCTATCGGTCCTGTCTATCTGTCCTGTCTGTCGGTCCTGTCAATCTGTCCTGTCTATCGGTCCATTCTATCTGTCCTGTCTATCGGTCCTGTATATTTGTCCTGTCTATCGGTCCTGTCTATCTGTCCTGTCTGTCGGTCCTGTCAATCGGTCCTGTCTATCTGTCCTGTCTATCGGTCCATTCTATCGGTCCTGTCTATCTGTCCTGTCTATCGGTCCTGTATATTTGTCCTGTCTATCGGTCCTGTCTATCGGTCCTGTCTATCGGTCCAGTCTATCGGTCCTGTCTATCGGTCCTGTATATCTGTCCTGTTTATCGGTCCTGTCTATCGGTCTTGTCTATCTGTCCTGTCTATCTGTCCTGTCTATTGGTCCTGTCTATTTGTCCTGTCTATCGGTCCTGTCTATCGGTCCAGTCTATCGGTCCTGTCTACCGGCCCTGTCTATCTGTCCTGTCTATTTGTCCTGTCTATCGGTCCTGTCTATCTGTACTGTCTTTCGGTCCTGTCTATCTGTCCTGGTCTGACAATGTAAACGTTTGTTTCTTTTGGTCGTAAAGTTGACTTCTGTCGTGATGGCTGCCACATGAACAAGAACAAATTGCTGAAATAGATGTAAATAAACAGGTGGTTTATACGAATGAAATGAAATGGGGTTTAATGTCCTACTGTTCTGCTCCGAACTGGGTTAATGAAGCCGGGCATACGCCATACAGTGTGCTATGAGGGAAATTTTGCCCTGTTAGCGACACTATGGCCTACTCTTATATCGAATTTCAACTGTCAACAAGGGATCTTTTATGTGCACGTCAATGTGTACACGGGATCTTGATTTTTCTTCCCATCCGAACGACTAGACAGCTGTCCTTGTCAGGCCCTCCGTCCTGCATCATTTACAAGGTGGGGGGCACGCAGGAAAATCTGGAAGAACCTTTTCGGCCAATGCAGGGATCGAACAACCGACCTCCAGGCTAGCGAGCCAGCGTCTTAGCCACCATGACCCCCGGTGGGTTTTTTTACAGTAACTTAAACATACAAGAGCTAAATCT